CACCCTGAACAAGGTAAAGGGAACGAAACATACAGAAGTTAATGACGTCATAGAATCTCGTGACCTCTTATTCGACTGCATACGGTCATTGCGTATGATAAATGCTTCAGTCAGTGATCGACCTAGAGGAATGAAACGTGATCGGTTTGCTGAAGTGCTTATGACCCATGTGCTAGACCTCACCCGTAAGCCATCTGTGTCGTTTATGAGCATGTGTCTGTGTTTCTAGTCCCAGATGGGGGTCACGGTTATGATTGGTTGAATGATGACGGAATAAGTCCGAAACAGTACTATATCAATCTATCCGCATTCTCTGTCCTCCCCCCGAGTTATGTTCAAATCCCCCCCCCCTTTTCCAAACCTGAATTTTGAATTGATAGAACACTAACATTTCCACCAGATAGGTGTATTTAGTGCAGTTAGTTAGTTTCATCAGGGTGTGTGCTAATCCAAGATTTGCCCACGTGTTTCTAAAAGCACCAAACTTGATTTTGATACCTCAACATCATTAGGCGTACTTTATATTGCCAAATCACTTTTAAAAAACATAAAGGCTAGAACTTGCACATGCTTGTCTGTAAATTGTTTTCAGAATTCTTTCAAAAGGAATTGGAGATTCTACGAAGACTTGATCATGCGAATATTATCCATTTGATCGGTGTTTCTCAACGGCAGGAGAGGAGAGGTTTAGGTAGTAAATTTTCTTCTTCCTAAACGTAATACGTGCTGTAATCCGACCTTTCCTGTTTTGAATAACGTAATGCTATGATAACGCTAGTGAGTGCTGCATTACCACCGGCAAAAAGTATCCGGTTGACATTACATAATCAGTTAGGTCATATTTTGGCAGCTAAGACGATCGTTTGGCCGGACGCAGTCTTTCGCAAGTCTTTGAAACCCAAAAAGTTAATTTAAAGGCATTATAAACAGCCGGAAGTCTGAGTGATTCAGAGACATCCACAGTTACCCAGCTGGGGTTTTAGTCTCGCGGTGTACGAATATTCTTTGCAACACGCCTACTACTTCCTTCTCCAACCGAAACCAACATTACGCCTTTTGGAGTAAATTCGGTTTGGTTGCCAAGGCGACGAGTTAATTTAAGATGAACGCGGTAGTAAAAAAGAAAATTTGCAATCCAAATGTGCAGAAAATGGGGATATATGCAGGGGTGAGGTTTATTCTTTAAGATATTTACGTAACGTGGCCCAAGGATGCAACAGCCAATGCACGATGCCGAATTTACGTGTCCAGACTTCCTCTTGAAATTAATCATACTTCCTGCACGGTCATTTTGATACAACCAACATCAAGACCATGCTCTCTGGTTCATATGCATGGCAGGTTCTTATTGTTTAACGACGGCTCTATTAAACGCTAAGTTAACCGCCTAAGATAGAGTCTTTACTATTCTTACAGCATTCGAGTTCTTCGGTCAGGGGTAAATTTGTATTTGCGATTTTGAACTGGCCGCCCTCGAAACAGGACACTTCAAGATCTCCTTACCGAACGAGGTAAGTTGACTGAAGAAGTTTGCAGACCATTGTTCGCTGGGGCAGTTTCGGGAGTGGAATACAGTAGATTGGTGTCTTCCCCTTAGCCTGCTCTTAGTACATGGACTGAATATTATTCATCGTGACTTGAAGCCGGAAAACACGCTTCTCACACCCAACGGTAGCGTTAAGGTATGCCATCTCATTTGATATATCTAGCTTGGAACAGCTGATTGATTTCGGCCTAAGCGAAGTTGTCAGTGTGGACGGCCTGACCTCTGGCACCTTGGGGACTCCTGCATTCTTGTCTCCCGAGTGTGTGAACGAATGCGGAAAAAGGTACCCTGGCAAGGTAGTTCAATCTGAAGAAAGGACAAGGCGCCAAGCGACATGTTTTCTCTTTTTAGGCAGCCGACATTTGGGCGCTGGGAATGACACTGCTCTACCTTCTCACTGGAGAGGTAAGACGCACCCAAATATCCGCGATTTTAGCTTTACTATGATGGACTGAACAAGTACGATGTTATGGAGGCAATCAGGGATAATCCAATCGACCTGGAAAGATAGTAGGCACAAATTGAGATCTACTCTCAAACTTATAGTGAGCTAGTTAAGCATGTGAGTGAAGGTGCGAAAGCGGTTCTAATGAGCATGCTGGCTTGGAATCCGGAGAAGCGCAGTTCCGCAAGGAATGTTCTGGTAAGTACGGTGCCTATATATATTGCCAACACGTCATGCTCATTGCGCCTGCAATAACAGAACTATTTCCTAAATTGAAAAGTCAATTTGGCAAACACGTGTTTTCCGTAACTCGTCATCAGGCCAAAACAGTTACATAGAATTTGAAGTTACAGGGCTTATAAGTGATTCAGGGCTAGTAACACTCATCGTTCCCACGCCACTCGCCTGGCGAGGCGTGCTATGGCGTGGTCGGCGTGTTGTGGTCATTGTGCCAAGAGGGCCAGGGGGAGAGCGGACATGGGCTGTGAGTAATGTTTGTACGTCGGGTACGTTGTGCACACACCACTGCCACCAGGTTGGGGCGACGTTGGGGTCGACGTTGGCTACGGAAGACAGTGTGCCTGTGTCAGAGTCTTCTGACAGCATAGCACTGGATTGGCTAGCCGTATAGCCACTGCCTCCGGCTGTAGCTAGCACTCGCTGGCGTAGGCCTCTGGAGAAGCTTGCCGGTGTCTGGTTTAGAACCTAAAAAGCTTCTTTGGCATCGACTCGGTGATTCGTATCGACAAGATGTGCGAAAATAGAACCCGAAGTCGATTTCTTCTCACCTCTGCCTATCCAGGCCGGTATGTACTCACGTACTCTCTTTTCCAGGCGCCTCGTTGTACGGCCAATGTATCCCGCCCCACAGGAGCAAGTGAATGAGTAAATACACATCGATGTGGCCTGCAACGGGAGTCGGTCTTTACCTCCCAAGCGTAGAAGGGGAGAGTTCGTAAAACATACACGTAAATCCGCCCCGGGGAAAGCGTTAGTGATTGCTGTCTCCAGACGTCTTCTTACTAGGTCACTTGCTGCGTCCCCTTGAAAAGGCAGTCTTATAAATAGGTCTTTCTTTTCTGAAGTTGCCACGGTGGACTTTGCAGTGCACTCCCCTATGTTTCGGAGGGCAAATCTTTCTGGGTATCCGTTTTCGTGGAGTATATCCCGCAGCTGCCGGAGTTCTGTCTCAACAGTCCCAGGAGAGCAGATACGTCGCACTCTAGCTGCCAACCCCTGGACCAAATTGCGTTTAATATTTAGGAGAACAAAACTGTGAAAACTAATGTATGGTCGCATCCAGGTTTTCTTTCGGAATACCCTACGCTGGATAGGTCCATCCTCTTGTCTGCGCAGAAACACATCGAGGAACGCGATTTCGTTGTCTGCCTCAAACTCTGCGGGGAACTTTGCCGAGGGGTGTGCATTGTTGAATTTTTGAACCAGGGCGTCTGTGTCGGTTGTAACATCCGTCAGGCAGAAAATATCGTCCACGTACCGACCGTAGAAGTTGAGGTCATTAATAACGTCTTGTAAACTTATCATCTCGACTTTGCCCATGAAGATATTTACGAGGAACGGGCCGAGCGATGAGCCCATTGCTACGCCGTCTATTTGCCTGTGCAGCTGACCATTGCAGAGAAACTGGACGTTTTGCGTGCACCATGTCAGTAGTTCTTTAAGCGTCTCCACCGGCATGCCTAACGGGTAGTTCGTGTCGCGGATAACGTCACAAAGATAGTTTGTTGTTTAGGCTACGGGTACATTAAACAGTGATGCTACGTCTAATGATAGCATTCTCCGTCCGTCAACGTTAGTATTCTTGATCGCCTCGACAAACTCGAAGGAGTCCTTCAAACTTAGGGGGTACACATGACTTTGCAGCGGTTTAAGCTTTTCGACTAGCCATTTGGCTATGGTGTGATAGGGCGAATTCCTCATATCCAGGATTGGACGTAGGGGTAGCCCGTGTTTGTGAATTTTTGGGACTGGCCCAAATTTCTCTATAGATGTTCCCTTGGGTGTTATGCGATTCCCAGCTCCTTCACGTGAATAAGGGTGTCGAGTGAAACCATTTCCAGGAAATAGATATGCACCTTGTGACCATCCTGAAGAAAGCGTAACCGCCATACGGGGGGAAACTGAGGACGTTAATGTTATCGCGGGCAGGCGTCAAACATCCATCAAAGGAACTATCCTCCGATAAAGTCATCCCACACAGTCAGATGGGCTTCAGTTATTGGCCAATGACATCCACGGCCGAAACCCACGTGTGAAGCTGTCGGACCCCGTTGATCTGGATCTAGATGTACCCCGCAGGATCATCTGAATGAGACTGGGCGACCAATTGGATGTATAGAAGGAGCTTGGATTTCAAGGAATGACAATAGAATCAGCGAACCTAAGCCCAATCAGACTGCAAAAGGCTAAAACGCTTATCAATATTCATGAAGTTTAAGGCAAACGCGGACCCACCAGTCAAGGAGGTACTGACGACGGCAATCGCTTCTAACGATACGGCCGGCTTGCAATTTCACGCAAAACTGGCTCACACGTCCGTTCGGAGGTCATTTTGAGTCTGCAATCAGCAAACGAGATGTCGCTGTGCTGCAGATGCAGCACACGGTTTGGAGACATAAATGCACGCAAGACCGCTCACTAGGAACGGCCCTCATCCTCGCCCTTGTTGCCACTGGTACATTAAACAGATAACGAGATTCTCAAACCACATAAAGGACCTATCGATACCCAGAATCCTAATACTGAATTTCTTCAACATTTCTAGACGCTTCGGTGGATCATGCAGGGAGAACAGGAGCCAAAATCATGAAGGATGATAGTTTATACGGGAACATTTACAATCAGATGAATAAAAATGCACCTGATAAGCAGTAGAATGCGGAAGAAAATATGTGCAAAGACCGAAGCATTATTTCACGCACGGTTGACTGTTCTCCCACAAAATAACACCGAGGAGTCCGCTTTGAGATAAAAAACGAAACAAGTCGCTCAGGCCTGCGTATCGTTCTGCTGCTGTTGTTCTTGTTTCTGTTGCTGGTTCTGTTTGCGGTTCTGAATCCGGTGTACACAGCGCTCTAGAATGCGCTTGGCCTCGCATTCGGGGAAGTTGGTCATATCGTAGTACTGTGGCGCTATCCTTACAAGCCTAAAAAGGAAAGATCGTGTAAGTCACTAACAGTTTCTAACTTGCACACTGAATACTGCCTCCTCGGTTAGGGGCATTCTACTTGCATGCGAGTCGTCCGCGTTCCGAAAACATGGGCCTTGCCTACTTACTTTAGCTCGGAGATTCAGTAGGGCGATCAAGCTATTAATAAAGCAAATTGACTAAAGCCTAATCGCTGAATCTGGTTAGCTGCCATTGAGGGGGTGGGAGGACTTGGAATTTTGGTAAAAATTTGTGGTAAACGATACTTGAGTGACCGATCTAAGATTGCCGTCCTGTTGAAGTCGAGAAACAAGCTAAATTTAGGGAAACTTGACGACATAACAACGCGTTGTCAAAATATACGATCTCGTTTAGGAAAAATGGATTAAAAATACGTGGAAGTCCTTCAGGCCAGTCATCATCATTCGGACAAATTGGTGTGGAAATGCGGAAGTAGCGCGTGATGTAAGTGAGGATTTAGGCGTCTTGCTCGAAAAACGAAATGTTTTTGAGAAAAGACGTTAGTGCACTGAAATATTAATCGAGATGTACTTGTCATCAACATGACAGTCTTTGCAAAATTGCTATTCAAATTTTGTATCAGACTCTAGAACGAGAGACAAACGAGAGAGAACAACTCACCAGTCTGGTTTGATCTCCGTAACTGTGCGGATGTAATTCTTGGTTGTCAGCACAAATTCGTTATAAAGAACCCATTCGGGCTTGTGGTCGAGTACCGTAGATGGATGCAACTGAACGACCTGATTATCCTTTACAGTCAGGTAATGACCAGTTCGCTCCAGATGGGCAACCTATAGGGTTGGTAAACTCGAAAATCATGTAGAAGAGAGAAATTGGCATTTTGTGACTCAAGGGTCAAGATAATCCCAACTGCGTGGGCTTTAAGAAGCGCAGACCGTGAAAAGGCCGTATTTTGCGTTAACGCTGGGAACAGCAGACTAAGCTGCGGCACGTTCATTCATATTCCTGAAACACTGGCGGCCGAACAAATGCCCTCCTAGCTCTTGGAAATAAAGCATCTAACTGCACAGACTTCTGCTGGAAAAACAGCTTATTTAGTAGGGTTAGTAAAGGTTTCGGGGGTGCCCTCAACGGCTTCGCGTACGTGCATAGTGCAACGCATAGGAATCTATGCAGTCTATCCCACCAACTACCTTTACGCTTCAGTCAAGTTGCAGCGTTGTCGATTCTGTGAAGAGTTTGGGCTCTCAGATTTCCCACTGGGAGCAGATTTCGAAAGGACGAACAAGGTTGGCCGGTGGGCTTTAAACATTTTTAAGGACGGCGATGTCCTGATCGAGGTATGAGGACGACGCCGGGGAGCAGCGACATGTTTATGACACAAGAAGTGCGTATCCGACGTATGACGGCTTGAGTTTTATGACCTAACGTGGAATTTTTGGCTAGTCAAAGATGCACTTTATAGTGAATTATGATGTATAAAGATTACGTCGTCCCGTCTCAAACTGACACAGATCAACAGCCCTTATGTTTCATGCAAAATGCCTGGAAGAAAATTTAAAAAGTGACCAAGAGGGAACAATATCACAATAAGTGGGGGCTTCATGACTAGCTAGGCAGTGGGGCTGAAAAAAACAAAGGCGTACCTGCATGAAGAAACCGGCAACAAGTGCTTTGCGTATGTTCAAGTAGTAGTCCCGGGATGAAAACTCGGTGCTGGAACGTCTTAGCGAGAACCTATCCATTATACGCGAAAGCTGAACGCGGACATTGTCAGCAGACTTCAGGGATCGGAAGTTTATAAAATTGTCATAGCACCACTGAGGATCTTCCTGATCTACAAAAATGTGAAGACTCTTCTTTAACATTAACAACCAAAGACAGAAAAGTTTGTTTTCGAGGGGTCAGGTTTACACGGCCTAAACCACAAAAACTACTATGGAGTGGCTGTAAAATCGCCAGGTATGGCCACCAGGCGGACGTATTGGTGCGAAACCAGATGTAATCTGAAAGATTCTTTCTGATGCTTCCACTGGCTTCAGTATTAGCGAAGAGGAATGACGCTGCCTTTCTAACAAAGGAGGCACTTTGTCTAAAACCCATCGGAGGTAGAGTTTGCCATGGGAAAATTGCAAGACATCGTTTTCTAAGTGTATAGGGCCAAAGAGAGTTAGTTCTAAAAGTACCACCAGTACCAGAAGAATCCCGAAACCCCAGTGTGGACAACGAACGTTTCCAGAGATAGGGATTACAGGATTCGAGTGTGAGTCCGAAACGTTAGGCGAATAAAGCACTAGTCCCAGTGACCGCGTCTCCCTATTCCTGACTGCCTCGTGGAGCTCGCCTCTTCGCTTCTATCCGCACTGTCATCCTGCGTTAAACACAACCAGCCCTCCCCACTATACTTCTGGGTAACTTGGTTATAGTTATTCTCTATAGCATGGTTTGCCACTGAAGAACTGGTCTCAGGATTATAACATGAATTGTCAGAAGGAGCCTCCGTGTTAGTTCCACTATCTCTTTCCGGCAGCCTGGCCGAGCGTAAAAATCAACTAATGACATTTGACGCAGCGGCTGATGTGGCGTGAGCCTCCGTCAAATGCGTGCGACACTTTCAGTGATATTTGAGGACTAGAGAAACGTCAACGTAACCCGACTAATACATGCTATGAGCCAAAACGACTCCATCCGCGGCTAAAGCAACAAAAGAAGAGCACTTTTTGGGGAGAGAGGGGGGGGCGTGGGAACACTTTTACAAGTCTGCTGGCCGACTGTGCGGCAGTGCGGGCATCAATGCAGTGATTTTTCGAAGGAAATCTGGTGCACACGATGAGCTTCTATAGGACCTGTGGATAACGATATGATGGGTAGTGTCGAATGCAGGCGTGTACACGAAGATGCCTATGAACTATGATGCATCAATGCCACTGTAGGCCAATCCTGTCGTTCACTGATTGGAGACCAAAGAATATAGTAGAGAGGGCGTTGTAGAAGGGGCACAGCACGGTTCAGGGAGACAAAAGTACGACTTACTTTGCTTAAAAGCATGATAAACATTCAGCATGGTCAGATGATCGCCGTCAATGTGAGCAAAACGCATTTTCGCCTCATCTGCAGCTCTCTTCGCGTCCGCTGGTCGAACGAAACACTGGGGCACTGAAAGGGAATGTGACAAAAATAAATCGCGATATGCAAGTAAAACAAGTGGTAGGTGGTAGTAAAATACCCCTTCGAAAATGAGGTCAAAAAGACGGCAGCTAGGCGTTGTAGGCGCCGCCTGAACGACAAAATCGCTTGTGACATTAAAAACGGCGAGCTACAATAGAAGATAGTCTGAGTCGGAAGTCCATTCAGGTTTTGGGTTCCGAACTTGGTATTTGGTACGGCTATGATCGTGCATGACTTATTTGACTTCGATTATGTCACGAATTGGAGCTCTTCATATCTGATGATCCGCGGCAGCGGAAATGGACAGCTTGACCCACTCATCTAACGACGGGAACCGGGTACCAAAGGTCCCAGGAACCTCTCTAAGTCTTGACGGACTGTGCCAGGCCAGGGTTTGAGTTGACTTCTCTGTCAGCCCTCCTGGTGGAAATCGGAGCTGGATTGAAGGCAACAACACTGAGCCCGAATACCCTGTAAACGAAAATGTTTGTGGCGATAGACATTTCGTCTCGGGTCTGCAGACACCTTTTAATGATTGTGGAAAACACGCGAGCAGAACCCGCTGAGGATACAATGTCGTTCTTACTCTGTCCATTCGGTGAGCGCGTCGCCTTGAAGGGTGCGCTTTCCTGGCGGGGGATTCAGCTTGAAAACACTGGTTTTCACAGTATTTATGGACAAATTGTTTTAGCGACCTCACCCATCCGCGACACAGGTTGTAGGTCACCAAAGCCCGAGGCCGGATGAAAAAACGCAACCTTGCTAAATGGTTAAATGTCGAACGGCTGGGGGATTTGGTGGACCACAACTCGCGCAGTGGTCGGCCGATAGTAAGCGCGGATCAGGACGATGCTTTCCGTCAACATGCTGTCCAGTCATATTGTCGGCCACAGCTATCCATGATGGACGAAGTCGAATTCCGCGGCGAAGTCAACGAATCAGACAACCGTCAGTTGCTGGTAGACGTGGTGGAATTAAAAATGTGCCTCATTATAAATGTGCGGTCGGTGCATCTACACCCAGGTCGAAGTCCGGCTTAATTGGATCGGGTTCTTGAGTCATGCACACTAAAATCGCCTGAGAATGACAGTAACAAAGATCTCGGCAGCAGCTTCGATGAAACCTAAGCCGCGGTAGTCCTATGTCCCTTCTCGAAGACAAGCACAATGATGCCCGAACCGCAGTCTCCCGGAGCGACCGCATCTCTACACGCCTGCTCAAACACTCCACATAGGCATGACGCCAGTGTCGACACAAGACTTTCAGATTTCAGTGGACATACCGTCCTTTGCGGACGCCTTCGTGTCGTGTAGCTTCCGTACTGCATCGACAATTTCCTCCTGAAATGGAGAGTCGCACGACGCTGCACAGACTGAATAGGGGTAAGAGCCTGCTGCAAAGGTGAGCGGGTGGGGAGGGGGGGAGAGGTAAACTGGTCATCGAAATTGAGAATGTGCTCGAAGTATTCAAACCAGTAACCAATTTTTGCCGAGTTTTCAGCAATAAAACGACCATTCAAATCGCGAACCGAGTCAGTAAGTGTCGAGGGCTTGCCATTAACTTGCCGGATAACTTGGTAGTTTTAAAGTGTCATCAGCTTTTGAGACCCGCTCCATGGAGGTCGCTACTTCAGCCCAATATTTTTTGCCTGTCATCCCCAGCAAACGTTGTTGTCATTTTCCAAAGTTGGTGGAGGGAATAAGGGTTGCAGAACCTGACCCGAGCCGTCGGGCAGGCAACTGCAAGGCCCTTCTGCGGCGTCCCTAGATTAATCCAGGAATTTTCTAAGCCAACCTATAGACTGATGACTATAATCATGACCAATGACCACTGACTTCCCCTACGACTAGGGTCGTAAAAGAAGATCGGATTTCTGTGCTCAAGGCTTCAAAGCTGTAGGGCTGTCGAAGTTTGCGTCTTGCACATGATATTTTGGGTGCGGATGAGAGAAACTTTCAGACGTTTGCGAAAGAGAACATGGTCCTATCCACGGATGTTAGCAGTCTCGGCACCACTCACCGATATGCTATCGTGAACAAAACTGCGGAACCCTGCACCAATAAAACTGCAGTCGACTTGGTTGGCCGTATGGTCGCCGTTTGAATATCAGATCAGCAGCTGTTTGTGGCGATGCTGGAGGCACGTGTTGGTGCCTGTCGGTCATGATCAGTAAAGTCCAGTATCCTTCCACCGTTGCCGCATGAACAGCCAAGTCTAGAGTGTCCAAGGACGCTTGTAGAGGGCCTACCATCAACAAGTGTTACGGATACTTGAGTCCTGTTCTACGAAGATGGACATTCTAACCCGATGATCTTTATTGTCATCTCTGGGGGACTTTACCGACATTCTCCGAAGTGTGAGGAAAGAATAATTGTTGCAAAACCTATCTAGAGTCGTCTTGGCAGACAACAGAAAGATTCTTCCGCTGGTTCGGTAACTGTGGCGCCGTATGATGAATCCAAGAATTCTCTCAACGGCTTCGTAGATTTGCGACTTCAATGGTGGTCATTTGCTACCGCCTTCTTGGACTCAGGTTGCATGAGGGGGGAGGGGCAGTTTCTCCGTCCAGTCTCGGCTGTGTTGGGTTGTCGCACTTTTGGCGACACCAAGACGTCTTGCACGTCTATTCCGAACACTAGTGACTCCATAAAGGGGGAATGCCCATGGAGTAGGACTAATGGTGGTTAAAAGCATGGAGCAAAGACAAAGTCTAGTTTGTTTTTTTGAAGTTCCACTTACCAGACAGCATGGCAGTTATGCTTAAAATCTCGTTGGAACAGTTGTAATCGCAGGATGCAATGACCATTTTGGCTAACTGCGGGTCCAGAGGGAATTCTGCCATCATACTCCCAAGGTCAGTTAAATTGCCATCGTCATCCAGGGCCGCCAGATAATTTAGTAACTCCAGGGCGCGCATCAGTGTTTCCGGGGCTACAATTGGAAGGAAGGGCGGAAATATTTGCAGCATTACAGCAATTAATAAGGTAGAGAGTTATGATGGCCTAAAGCAGAGCCATCCTTCTATGCTAATTGCACCATAAACCTACGAAAGTTGTTGACTATCCTATCTAAGAACAGTGCGAGCGCATTGAGAACCAGAGCACCCTGTTGCAGTATAAGGACAGTCTTAACCAATTTAGTTGGTCTCCATTACATCACCCACAAGTAAATACGGTTGATAACGATGAGTCAGGGGCCACTAATGATACTGCCACCAAATTCTGCATGCGACGACACATTGCATGAGTACTCCAACTGTAAATGGTCTCTTCCTTTTTGCATCCTGATGGGCATGAAGAAAACACTGGTAACAGAGACTCCACTCAGTGCCTCGACTTATATCTTGTCTGTTTTGTAAATTGAAAAGAGACTGGATATGGAAGTTGGATTTGTGAATCTCATCAGAAATGCATTCTAGCGAACCGAGTAACCAGTTTTAGCACAAGAAACAACGGAGCATTTTCTTTGCTGAAATACACATGCTGCCGTTTGAATCATATGTGTTCGTCAGGGAGCTATCAGGTGGACGCCAGCTCCCTCCGGAGTAGTGAACCAAGAGTAATAAATACTAAAAGTTCTCAGAAAATCCCCGAAATAATATGAGGATGGTAGGTATTAATAATGAGTAGGGGGCAGGGCGGAAAACCGAGAAGCGATATGCTGAAAGTGCGAATATGGGTCGCTGCCAAGTCCGAAAATGGGCCTTCTTTAGTATTGAGGAAAGCACATCGGACATGGCCGTAATCCATCTCTACTCATGCCCTTCGTGCACATAACTGAGAACTTCGTTAAAATCCCATTGCACTAGTCTATAACGATTTTCGTGGCTTCCGAAGCCCTGAATTCCGGTTAAATAACAATTTCGGCCACTATGCCTTACGCCAGGCTGACATATGAAAATGCGGAGGAGCAGGGAGGCGCTGTTAGCAAATGCGGCTACGCCACAGGCGGCACAAACACACCTGGGGGGTCCATGAAGTCGAAGTGAACCAGATCATCAATGCCCAGCTTCTTCAACTGAAGCACCACGGTGCCGAGATTGGAACGCAAAATTTCGGGGTAGGTGTTGTCTTGCATCTCCGTACTATAGGCCCGTTCAGTATAGAGGCGGAAACATTTGCCGGGTCGAGTACGACCTGCGCGTCCGGCGCGCTGTTGCGCGGAGGCCTTGCTGATTGCAGTCACCAGCAGAGACTCGACACGAATGCGCGGATTATAGACCTTCTGTTTTGCAAACCCAGGGTCAATAACAAAGACGACACCATCGATAGTGAGGGAAGTTTCTGCGATGTTTGTTGAGACGACAACCTGTAAAGTAAAACAATCAAGTAAGTCAGAAAAATTTAAAGTAATTCGGAACTAAGAGTCAGGAGAACCGGTCTTATTCTCGTCAGCATCAGAAGAGAAGGCGGGATTGGGGACAATTCAGGAAAGACAGACTCATCGAAGATCATAAAATGTTTCACTGATTTGAGAGCGATCTTCGAGCGTTTTCCAAGGTATTGGACTTAAGCGCCTAATATCTTGGACCCCGAATAACCCTGACTTTAATGACTAGTGAGCTAGACATGAAACGGGATGAGTAAAAAATCAGGAAGAAAAGGCGGATAAGCAGGAACATTTCTCTGAGGACTTGAGGTTTTTTCCGACTTAACCATACACGCTAAAGTGTTCTCGGCTTAAGGTAGAGATGGGCACGATCAATTGGGTGTAAGAATGCGGATCACGAAATCCTAAAGTGTGAAAATATGAAAGCAAGGAACCGCAGCCAGCTTAAGTAACTAGATTAGTTCCTTCGGTTTTAACAAGTCTTCGCTAATAGAAGTGAAGAGAGGAGTGCTAGGAAGCAGTCTTGAAGAATAAGAAGAAGAAGAAGAATACACGATCGCCGGGACAAGAGCTTCATCAAAAGCAGACAAGAGAGATAAGAGCAGAGACAAAAGCAGATAAGGGTTGATGGATTCGAGCAGGAATCCGAAACGTTAGGCTTATAAAGCTCTTGTCGGGGCCATCGTGTCATCTTCAAGTCTTCGCTGTCTGAGGGCTGCGACGCACTTGGAATTTTGGCCAATCATGATATAAAAACAGTAGTCCCGTTACAAAGCTAAATCCTGTCGTGCCTCCGTGTGACCTAGCAACTAAAAGAGAGATGGCAAATGTAAATGAACCATCGACGTGAGCAGGTCTGTTACGAAGGTTGCAACAGTGTATACACTACCAAAAGTCGAAAAGACAGAACCTTCGCAAGTCAGCAGACAGGAAAAGGAGCCAAGGGTTATACCTTCCTGCCAATAGCCCCATTTTTTCGAGGTGCAGGAGGAGGATCAAAAATGCGTTGTTGTAGGTTGGGTGGGAGTGTAGAGTATAAGGGAATGCACCGAAGTTCGCCGACATCTGGGCCGAGAGAGTCAACCTCACGCTGGATGCGCTTGCAAGCCTCTTCAATCTCCTCCTGGCCAGTCAGGAAAAGAAGAATATCACCTTCGCTCTCCTCGCACATGTGTATCTGAATGACTGTTCGAATTGCAGCCTCTAGATAATCCCGTTCAGGCTCCGGTGTATAAAATATTTCCACCGGGTGCGTTCTCCCAGGGACTGTCATGAGAGGTGCTTTATCGAAATAATCCTGAAAGATAGTGTGCATATGGGTCGGTAAAGAGTTTTTACGAACTGAAGATGGCAATTAAAATAATTATTTGATGTGGTGGGAGAGAACGCTTACCTGAAACTTGCCGGCATCCAGAGTGGCACTCATCACCACTATTTTCAGGTCGGGACGCTGACCAATAATTTCTTTAAGCAAGCCCATTAGAATGTCTGTGGCCAGAGTGCGTTCGTGGGCCTCATCAAGCAGTATGACCCCATAGTTTTCAAGCAAAGGGTCGGACATACCTTCTCGCAGCAGCATACCATCTGTCATATACCTGGGCAGGTCGAGAGAAAATAGGAAATCGTGTGTACTCAAAGTCGTATTACTAGTTCCCTTTGACCGCTTAACAAGATAAGACGAGGATATAAGGCAGTGATACGAACTCTGCATGAAAAAGACGGCACTCAGGAATGGCCCACTGCGAAATTAGCAATACGGGAAAGTGGCCTACAACGGTAAACAGGTCGGTTTTGTGATGTGTTGTGGATTTGCACGCCGCCGCTAGAGACAGCGGGTTATTACTTGTTAACATGACCACTTGGTGTAAATCGCCCTTCTCTAACCCTAAGCTTTAAGAAGGCAAATAAACAAATAGCCAGGACAGAACCAGACTAACTTTAAAATCGTAAGGTTGGAGGTACAGTCCTCGAAACGGATGCTGTAACCGACTTGGTTTCCAAGTTGGCAATCCATTTCCTCGGAGACACGCTGGGCCACGGACATCGCAGCAACTCTACGCGGCTGTGTGCAGGCGACGCATTTCTTGGAAGTATAACGAGACTTGAGCCATTCCAGACACCACTGAGGTATTTGCGTGGTTTTCCCGGATCCAGTTTCACCGACCAGGACCGTAACCTTATCAAAATATAGAATATACAAGAAAACATACCTGATTTTCTGAAAGGACTTTAAAAAATTCCTCCTTGTATTCCCAAACGGGGAGCGTGACGCGTTTTCGATATATATCGAAGTAACGTTGGGTATACGCAAGTCCTGGGGTAGCGGAAAGGAAATATTTAAAATTAGGATAAATAAGTTCATAATTTCATGATCATTTCCTAGCGGGAAGCAGCTAGAGACGTTAGCCGCCGACAATACCAAGACTAAATACGTATATGTTGGAAATGCGCCTCTAGCGTCACTCGATGTTAAATAAATAAACAAAAATGTGACAGCGCCAGATTACAAGCGTATGAGACGCGATTGACTGGTCCGTCACTATACTGACTGTTCTGATCCAAGCTGGACTCAGTTGAAGGCGAGCAGGTCAGAAGCGAGGAATGACTTAGGAAACAGTAAAATATGGCCATAACAGTGATCCGACTCGGGAGAGCAGCCGAGATAACCCACATGGTCCTTGTGTCGACCACCACCTTATACGGGGAAGTGGCATTTTCTGGTTGGAGGAACCAAATTTCTCATCTCAACCGTAAATGCTGCATCTTTTAACCGGTTGTGTTAACAGTCTCAAACCGCCCACCATCCTTCTGACGGGTTAACCATAGTTAAAAAGACAGTACATAACACAGGAGTAAACGGCACGGAGCGCGATTTCAAGGTCATGCGCACTCAAACCAACACCATACACATTCGCCCTACCATGTTTGCGGCTGTTCCCACAGGGCGTCTCAATAGTTACCTCCGCCAGAGCACCTCCCAGTCCAGCTGAAGGGCTAGTTTGCAAATGGCATTCGGCCAAGGCTAACGGATATCTTGCAGTACTTTTTTCATAATCACTTACAATTGCATAAAGGAAATTCACTTGCACTTTAAGCAATTTGGTCACAGACGATTATACTTGCTTCCACTACCATGTGAAAATATGCCTGGGTTAGTTGGGATAAAAACAAACAATGGAAAGCTTGTAGATGAGATGTTTCCACGAGAAAACGACCACAAAAATCGACCGGGGATATACATTGGGCTAACGCACCTTCTGAGTGTTTTGGAGAACATGACTTAGGATGCATCTCTCAGGAAGGAAATCCCTCCATTTTCTGAATGCTGTGTGAACGTTTAGTAAAGCCTGCATGCCATCTTCTCAAATAGTCATTAACCCCTCTGTCTCATAAGTTGACAGGCCAATTCTAACAAAATACTACAAAACCTGAAAAAACCTGCCTGACACTTAATGCGTGATATGATCAGCAAGTGTACTCGGTGAAAATGGAAATAAGGAGCGTAAGAAACAAAAGGCCCCAAGGTTAAACTCCTAAAGTTCAGCATTTGATGAATCGCCTGATGGGGGGAAGGCAGACGGTAATGACGCACAGCGAAATCCGGCCCCATGTTATAGTTAAACATCAGTCCAGCCTATCGTTGAGAACGAAAGTCACGACGGCTTAACAATAAACTGCATAAAAAATACGAGTTTACAAAAGAAGAGCATTGGACCTCGCTGTACACATGATACAAGAACGAGCGGACACTGCGCAGTTATTCCTTCAAACTCAAGAGCATTTAAAGTGTTCACGTTCGCTCAAATCAAAAGGAGATTTTCTTTAACAAAACGTCCTACAAAATGGCACAGACCAGTGTAAGGATTAACTTGGAGCTGGGCGGTCGAATTAGACGGAAAGCCCGTCCTTGGGCGATCAGGAGACCTGTCACGGGTGGAATTCCTTCCATTGTTATTTTCGGCATCCGAAAATCTTAAAGCCAAAAATAAAAAGGAAATGGGCATTACTTTGACTTTCTAGGCTTCAGGTCGCCTAGATCAAGGCGGTGGCGAGAAGACATCAGAGGCGTCCCGATCGGAGTTGAGCACGCCGCGGTACTAGGGACGATTTTAAACAATGCTTTACTGTAGTTCGTGACACGGACTTCATTAATATTTTTTCTAAACGTTGCGAATTGCCCATTTACGCAATGATTTGCACGGTCTAACATAAAGCAACCTGTCACTGAACATGATGATAGATCAATCGTGTGATAAATGAAGTGAATACACGGCGTGGACAAAACGTGAAAGGGTTGAAGTAGTCGGTTCGTCCTGCTGCTCTATCGGGGGGATCGGCTCTGACTCAGCGCCTGTCTTCAGTTCAGCTCAGTTTATTGAGGAAAATTGGCGTAAACCTTTGAGTACCATATATGCAACTAAAAAATGTATGGTATACAGAAACATGTTCTGGGCTGAAATAGTTCACGCAAGCCCTTAATGGTAGGAAAAAATGGGAACGCATTACAGGGGGTGAGCTCTGTTTCGCATCGCTCTTAGCCATTTCTAAACAAAATATGTCAAGATCCTTTTTAAAACTTTGTATTTATGGTGACATGACAACATCTGCGGGGAGGGCATTCCATGGTTTGACCAGTCGAACAGAGAAGGAGAACTTCCACACTTCCAGCCTTGCCTGCTGAGTGCGCGGAGGTTGGTCCTGGTAGCAAATTTTAAAAATTCCTCGAAGGCCAGGCTGCAATCCAACCCTTTTATAATGCGGAAGGCTTGCAAGAGATTCCCGCGAAGTTGCCTGTAACTCAAAGGAAAGAGGTTCAGATTTACTAGGAGGGTTGCACAAGGAAAGGAGCCTCGACCCCTAACCATATTCGTGGCTCTCCTCTGAACTGTTTCGTGGCAGTTTTGATCCTCAACCCTCCACGGTCTCCAGGTTTGTATGCCGTACTCCCAGTGCGGTCGGATGAATGTCCCGAATGTCTATGAGATACCATCTTCGTCAAAATTCACAAACGCACGATTCATGGAGCACAGGACGGACATTGCGCTCTTTGCCACCCTCGAACAATGTGAGGAGGGTTTTAGGGAACTCGTCGTCAGCACACCGAGGTTCTTTTTGGCTTCGACCTTTCGTAGGACTGCAGCGCTCAGAAAGTAGTCTCTTGTGCTAACGTATCTGGCTGTGTTGCCCAGACGAAGTATGCTACACTTTCCAACGTTGAACTGCAGGGGCCAACGGTTTGACCACTCCTCCAGCAGATTTAGGTTCATCTTTAGTCTGTCTTCATCGGCATGGCCCCGAATCACACTCCGTATCTTCATGTCATCGGCAAACATCGCTGCCTCGCAGTCTAAAGCTCTTGCGGCATCGTCCACGTAGATAAGGAACAAAATGGGTCCAGTACTGAACCCTGGGGGACACCACTCTCGACCATAGCAGGATCTGATTTCTCCGGACCGATGTACACAACCTGGTGTCGACCCAAAAGGAAATTTGCGACCTATTTAAGGAAGCTGCTACCGATCCCTATTTTTTAGTTTATGTAACATCCTCTGGTGTGCAACTGTGTCGAACGCATTCTGGAAGTCAATGAAGGCTGTGTGGACCGCGTGCCTGTCGCCGAGAGTTCGATTGTAGGTCTGGAGAGATTGCAGAAGTTTGCGTGCAGGATCTTCCTATCCGGAACCCATATTAGCTTTTCGATAGCCGGTCGTGAACTCCCAGGAAATACACCAGTTCACTCTTTGTGATTTTTCCAAAACCTTGCAGTGAATACATGTCAAGCTTATGGTCTTCTTATTTTTCATCGATGCCTTACTACCTCCATTGCATAGCGGAGTAATATGCGTCAGCTTCCAATCGATAGGCAGTGTTCCAGTGTCAAATGACGTCTGATAGAGCATCGGCAAGGGAACAGAAAGCTCACTGGCAAGTGTAGTGTGAAGATTGGATGAATCTCGTCTGGTCCTGGCGACTTCGATTCGTTCACTGACTCTTATTCTCTTCGGACAATTCCTTCTAATGAGAGTATACCACTGACGCTTGGGGTCGACAGTTCTTGTGTGGAGGGAGGGCGGAACCTTGCCTCGTTCGCATAGACTGATTGTAGAACTGTGAAAAATACGCTGCTTTATCCCTACTATCAGCAATCTCAACGTCATCAGTGGTACTTATTAAAAGGATTCGATGTCTGTTCCTTGTACTTCGTCGGAGGTAGCTGTACAATAATTTTGGGTTCTGCGTTGTTTTTTGTAGCAAATTATTCTCGAATTCCCGCCGCGTTTTTATAATCATGTTTCTCAGTTTGTTCCTGTGTTTTGTGGGTCTTGGAATATTCAACGTGACTAGTGACGCTGTATTTTTCCACAATTTGTGCTTCCTGTTGATTTCTTTCTTAAGGTTGCTATTTAGCCACCCAAGGCGTTCTTTCAGTCTTACACTAGTCAGTGAGCAGTGGTTGTTGATGAGCTGCAGAAAGACTTTCTTGAACAACTCCCAGTCATCGTTGGCATTTCCCGTAAACAATAAGCCCCCGTCTAGACCGCATAAGTCTGTCCTCATCTCCGTGAAGTCGCCCCGCCAAACATTCAGTCTTTTTTGGTCTGAAGTATGCGAAATGGCGAATAACGAATAATCCCACATAAACACTGCGTGATCACTTCGGCCGAGGATTCGCATGGAGGTGATCTCGTCTATGCTGTCTGGTGTTTTCATGAAAACCGGATCCAGACAGTTGGTCCTTTGTCCTTCACATTTTCTCGTTGGAAACATTACATGTCTTGCGAGGGAGGCCTTAAATGTTTTGTTCAGACGACGGTATTCGAATGCCGATTTCAAACTTGACGCTTGGAGGGTGTTCCTGTTTGTTCCTAGTGCATTAAAGTCACCCATGATCATGATGTTAGGTTGACTGGAAAATTCCTCAAACTGCTCCAATAGTTGAGTGTCCGCGATTTGGTCTGTCCTAGGTGGTCGACAGACAGTGAGGACTTCGAGACACAGGAACCGGTAGCCTTGATGGTCAAGCAAATAGCTTCCGTGTCGCACGCAAACTTGGTTGTGTTTTCCGTCACTGCCAGGCCCTCATTCACATACACAACTATACCACCACCCTGACGATGTCCCCTGTCCCTCCGAAAAATTTGTTATCCAGGTAAGGTTACTTCGCTATCGCTAATATTCCCGGATAGCCAGGTCTCGGTTACTGCTAAAACATTTGGAGACAGCTCGTCAAGGCAAAGTTTTAGCTAGTTTAATTTCGATAGGAGGTTTTATGCATTCGTGTACAAACTCTCAATTCGCGCTCTTTTGGCTAACCAGACGCCCGAAGCAAACGAAGTCAAAGTGCAGTTGAAATTGACGAGTTTGTTTTAGGTTTTTTTTCCTGAGTTCAAAGGGGACTGACAGTGCCCAAGGGGCGCTACAATAAACCTATTCTATTCTAAGCACCTCAGTTTTGCACAAGCCGAATTTCCGGTTGCATTCGTCACCGTTTTGAGCGTTACTCTGTTATCTCGGACGCCATTTTCCCTGGGCTCTTCCGTTACCTGATGAGTTCCATTAATATCCGTTGCTTCACTCAGATCACTGGACGTTGAGGGCTTACTTATGCTGTCGCCTTGAGCAGGTGGTTCCACGAAGGTGTCTGTGTCAGCTGGGTAGCTGCTGTCCTTCTTAGTATTCCTGGCTGGTTCCACTGAAACGGCATATGTTTCCCAAACGCCTTTCCCTTGAAAATAGCCAGATTGTGTTCGCTCCTCTTCAGTCTCAATTTTAATTCCAAGATGAGTTCTCGGTGTTTCAACTGTTCCGTTGGTGAGTAGTCCGGTTGGGAAAAAAACCTGTTTGTATGTGTCTCTGAGGTCGGTTTTTGGAGAGGATCAACTTGATTTGCTCTTTGTTCTCCAGCATAATTTTGAGAGGGCGAGAGAGCAGTGCTGCTGTTTTGTCTTCACCCATTTTTCCTATCCGGAATGCTTTCAGAACCTTTATTTTCATGTCTGCCTGGAGTAACTGATTTAGTAGACCATGAAAAAAGCAAGGTCCTCCGAGACACGGTCTTCAGGTCTGTCTGCATTCGATTCCGACAAACTCGGAATAACCAGACACAGCTGGCTATCGTGGTCCTCCTTTGTTTGTCTTTCCGGTGAATTCGCTGCATGTGGGCGAGGACGATTTACGGAGTCGTCACATGGACGCACACTTTTGCTGTCTACCGGCTGCCCCGAGCATATTATCAGGGCTGGTTGTAAGTTCAAACTCCTGTGATGGCGTTTCCCTCGCACCTCTACCCACAGGTTCATCTTTTTCGAATTCAACTAAGTGCTCTGTATGGCACTCGCTGTGGTTGCGAGAACAAGAGGGCAACCGTAGACTGAATAACCAAGGTATATCGTCTCCAGTCAAAAGACAAATTCCGTCACCTACAGCAAGAGGCTTAGGCGAGACGGCTTCCGCGCCAGGTAACATTTTGTGACATCGCTTAAGACGTCTTGCGTGGAATTCGAGTCTGCTTTATCGGCGGCTTCGTTTTCGTTGTCCTGCTGTTACCGGCGTCTGCGATTTTGGCTACTGACTTGCAACTCGTTTTTGAAGATGCCCCGGAACGATATTTTTTCTCGCTTTTTGAGTTTTTCTCTTCGTTTTTGTGACCCTAACACTGGAGCTGTTCTGGTCATCTAGGGTCTGTTTCACGAGCTTCCTTACATTAAAAACCTCCTTTTCGGTTTTTCTATTTTGATTTGGATATCTGCGCAACCAACACAAGGCTCGTCTTTGTACCCCACACTTTTTGCGGTAATTACGCTTTTTGCACGCTTTGCTGGTTTTTGGCTGGAAGCGCAGATAGAGCGAACACAGGTTCTGGATGCGAAGGACATCTCACCAGACTTATCTTCCAACGAGGTGCCGTCGCTGGCCGTACTATTACAGTTAGATTGCGGAGACTCCATAAACTACGACATGATATAATAGGTATAATTTCGCTTTCGGTGTTATAACGAATACGTCCGCTGGTATATGACGAAGTAAAGTGAGTATTAAAACTCAATACGCGAAAAAATA